CTCTGGTTTTGTTTTGGTCTCGTTTCGCTCTGTCTTCGTTCTGCGTGTGCTACAAAGCGACATCGGAACGACAACGGTCCACGGAATCGCCAACACAACGCTTAGTTCGCGCCTTGCTGTATATATATATATATATATACATATATATATATATATATGCTATAAACAACTACGCCCCCCCCTTCCCGGGGGTCCCACACCTCCCTGTGACATTTGCCTTGAGATCCCGCTACCGCGCTTTCTGGCCTCCTGGGGAGCCCCCCAAACACCCATGGAGTCCTCCCAGAGGCCTTCCTGGAGCATCTGCGGAACGCTCCCGGTACCTCGCGTTCCGGCCTTGGAGGACCCCCAAATTGCCCAAGGACAGCCCAAGACGACCCCAAGAAGCTTCCAGAACGTAAAAGAAAAGCCCAAGAGGCTCCCAAGCATCGCAAACTAGCCTTCGGTCGGCTTTCCGGGCTCCCAGAAAGCATCTACGAGACTTCAAAGATCGAGGATTTTTGGAAGAAGGAATTCCAGTTCTTTTTTGGTTGATTTCTTTTTCAAGTTGGCACTCCTACTCCCTATCCTCTTCCTCGAGACGTCGGGACCCATCAAGACTTCGGGGTCACATGCAAATATTGTTCGGGAATGCTGTTGAACTCTCTGACACTGTCTTGGCACTCTCTTGGATCGTCTTCGTGCCCTCTTGGCTGCCCCTGAAAACACCGTAGAAATTGAGATCCCATGATTCCATGAGTTGAAAGGAAAAGGAATTTAATAATCATTTTTATTCAAACTCACCCCATGCTTATTTTTGCACGCAGGCCACGAGAGGCACCCCAACAGACCGTGGCCTGCATCCAGAAAACTTCCAACTCACAGCCCAGGCACGAATGAACGAACGAAGCTGCGCCCTGACGGCGCATTGGCACACAGGTGGAAACTGCTGATCACATGCGTGCCGGCATGCAGAGAAAAACTAAAAGCTGCACAGTGCCTCGGGGGACCGTCGTTGTAGCCTTTGTTTCCAACGAGGTAGATGGGGGAACTGCGCACTTGGAAAAAACAGGACATCCTACAATTCCTTTCAAGCTTTTCAATCCTCCCTCAGCTCCCAGAAAAGAACCCAGCAAGCCTTTGAGGGCCCCAAATGGTCGAATACCTAACGGGGATTAATGATTTCTGTATTTCCGCAGTTCCCCTTCGATACGATTCCGAGGCTTGCGCAGGGCCTCCCAGAGAGTCTCCAGATGCAAGAAACGACAACATGATGTTCCATGAGTGCGCCCATTAAGCCTAGGTAGAACTTGAGCGCGCGCGAAGCGCGCGCGATGGTTCTAGTGTGTGTGTATATATATATATATATATATAAATTGTCATACGCACCTCTCCGAGGTAATAGAGCTCAGAGGCGATTAGTGAGAGGCCGCGCCGCGTCCGCGATTTTTATGGCCGTTTCGCGATGGGCATCCACTAAATTCTGAAAATCGGTGGCACCCCTCACACAGATCGTGACGTCAGGGTCCAAACAACACACGGGAATTTCAACAGTCTAACATAAAACCTTCAAAACCACAACGTAATTTCAATGATTTTGACCCCGATTCTCAAATAATGGCGGTTCCGCCTGAGACATCCTCCGAAAATCGAGCCACGACGTACTTTCTGGTATCCCAGACCCCGCCTCGGAGCCTCCTGGTGGCCCCTTGGAACCTCCTGGGGCCTCCTGATGCCTCCTTGGGCCTGCGGTCTCTTGGATGGGCCTCCTGGAGCCTCCTGCGGCCTCCATGGACATCAAGCAACTTCGAGCCCAGACGTACTCTCCTTCGGCATCCTGGAGCCTCTTGCGGCCTCCTGGTCGGGCCTCCTGAGGCCTCCATGGACATCCTCGCAACCTCGATCCCAGACGACCCCTCCTGGGACCTCCTAGAATATTTTCTGGCATCCTGGTCGGGCCTCCTGAGGCTTCCTGGGGGCCGGTGGTACACACATCGCACGGTGTGGCAACCACGCTTGCGCTCGAGTGCGACCCCGCTATTGCACTTCTTTCCCAGCAGCTATCCTCCTCCTCCTCCTCCTCCTCCTCCTCCTCCTCTTCTCGTCCTTCTCTTTCCCTCCACATCTAGTGAATCAATTCGGCTGGTGGGAATCGTGCTTACACTTCTCTTGTTAATTGCTTCGCTCATTCCGCCAGCGCATTGCACGCGGCGGGAGAGGCTCGGGCCCCTGTCGGACTCCGCACCAGAATCGTTCACAGAAGTCACGCTGATCAGGCAGGGGGGAAGGAGGACTGCGCTGCCCTTCAGAAGAGCTGGAAGACGACCGCAGGGCAGTGAGAGCGAAGCTCTGCAATAACCTCAGACTCGGGTATCGCGAAGCATTGGGCAGGTGGTCAAGGCCACTATTGGCTGAGACATCCTCGCAACTCTAAACCTCGGAGGTGTCCTACCCAATGAAGTTCCGGCCTCTTTCGCCATCGTCGCAAATCTGAATTCCGAGATGCCCTGAACTGAGGCGGTTCAGCTTTTGCCGCCTGAGACATCCTCGCAACTCTGGATTCCGAGATGCCCTGTCCCGTGGTGGTCTGGCCATTTTCTCCTGCGACACCCTGGCAACTCTGGGTTCCGAGATGCTCTGAACTGAGGTGTTCAGGCCATTTTAGCCTGACACGTCCTCGCAACTCTGGGTTCCGAGATGCCCTGAGCTGAGGTGGTCAGGCCACTTTCGCCTGAGACATCCTCGCAACGCTGACCTTGGAGAGGCACTGCCCTCTTCGATCCGCCTGCTCGATCCCCAATCCATTGGGGGGACTCTTTCTCGATCTTAGATTCTTCTGTGTTCTTCTCCTGCCTCTTCCGATTCTCTTAGGCACGCCCTGGCGGCGCCGCGCCAGCTTCCCCTTCTCCATCTCTGATCCCGCCGTCATGGTGTCCTGCTCCAAGCGACCTTTCAGTTTTTTGTATGGGCCTGGGCACACTCGTGCCACTTGTGTGTAAACTATGTATGAATATATGTAAGGATGCATGTATGTATGTGTATATATATATACACAGATATACAGAGCCGCCTTGGGGCTAATTTGGGCCGTCTTGGAGGCATTTCGGGCCATCTTGACGGCATTGGTTGCCTGCTTCGGCTGTCTTGGGAGCCTGGGAGTGCGGACCCAGTTTTTGCACGAGGGATCGTGGCCTCGGGAGCGCAGATCCATCCTTCTGTTACGAGGCGTCGTGACCTCGGACGCGCGGGCCTGTCCCTCTCCGTGGTGCGAGGGATCGTGGCCTCGGGAGGACCTCGGGAGCGGGAGGGGCCCGCAGATGACTGCAGCAAAACACAGCCGGGCAGCATTTGTGCCATCCTGCCACGCCTCCACAGGCCGGGAATCGCGCCGTGGGCGCAGGTCGGGGGCCTTGAGACGGGGGTCAATGCAACCGGGGGTCAGCCAGATCGCCCGATCTTGCAGGATCCTGCAGGGCCAGGGTCGCATTGACCCGGGTTTGGGTGCAGGATCTTGCCGGATCTTGCAGGATCCTTCGTATTGACCCTCGGGGGCAAGCAACGATAGGGGGGGATAGGCACAGGGGGGGATGCATCGACCCCCGATCGCCCATGGATCGCCGATAAGGGCCCGATAGCCCCAACCTGCACAGGAAGGTGCAGATTCACTACCGGGGGCCTATCGCTGATCTGTTGGCGACGTCTCGTCGATTCCAGGTCGATGCACCCCCCCCAGCTTTGCCAGCCCCCCCTCCCCTGCCGCTGCTCCTCATACTCGGGTCTGGGTGCAGGACCGTGCAGGACTGTGCAGGTCCCGCAGGGCCTGGCTGGCCCGGGTCTTGGCCGCGGGTTCACAAGGGGGCGCCTGCACGGCGCCAAGAGGGGGCCCAGAAGGCACGTGGCAAGAAGCTCGCCGAACACCCGCCGATCCCCGCTTGCCGGATGTGCAGCTCGGGGGCGCGCAAACATGGATCAGCGATCCGTGGGCTTGGCGCGCGGTCGCCAGATCCATGGATCGGGGGAAGTGCACTCCCCGAAATGCGGCCGGTGCCGCCTCGCTCGGCGGCGGAGATCAGCGATTTCCTATGGAAACGGGACCCGTCGCAAATCCTCGCCCCCTTGATTTATTTTTACGATCGCCTGAGAAGCGGCGTGTGAGAAATTTGGCTGTCCCCCTCCCCGTTTCGCCATGCCCCCAGGGCCCAGAATCGCATTTGCGGGGGGAGTGCCCGAGCTCATCGGCGCTCCTTCTGGTCCCCAAGGAAGTAGGTGTCCCAAGACAAGCCCAGACAACCCCAAAAGGCCCCCATGACGGGGAGCACAATTTCGGAGACGGCCCAAGGGCGCTCCGATGCGCTCAAGATAGCCCCCAGCAGCTCAGAAGACTCCCAAGACGGACCACGAGCTCTCCAAGAGGGCCTCCAAGGAGGTCCCCAAGAGGCCCATATTGCTGATTTCTGGTAGAATTTTGTACTATTTGAAATATCTGGCCTCTCAAGTCTTCCGACGCTCCAATGCGGCCCAAGAATGTCCCAATATTATCGTCCTGGAAATCCCCAAAGAGGTCCCGCAAAGACTTAAATCGTGAATTTTTGTGGTCTGCATCAGATGTTCTTAGGACATGTCTGGCTGAGGCCGTCCTGTTTTCACACACCGGCTTTATATTCGAAGAACCGTGCTTCTGTTCTGAGAACATTTTTGTGTTCTAGGAACATGTCGTGGTAGGCGTGTAGGAATGCCGGGACGGTCGGTCCCTGCTCAAGACATGGGGGTACAGGCACAGGGGGGTTACACTCGTTCCGCGAGGCCTGTGCCGCGCACGAGGGCACGGCAGGGATGGGGGCGGCGCTACAGTTAAGACGCTGACATCGGCGTGACCCCAACATGCTAAAGCTGTGAGTGCGTCGCCCCCCTCCCCCCATCAGGGGCGACGCGCGCGCCGAGAAATCTTGCAGCACAAACTCCGTGCCTGGCGCTTTCTGGCCACACCGCTCGGGAAACGACGCACAACACGATACATCCGTAGGATTTGTTTGGCTCAAGCCGCATACTTGGTTGTCCACGCTTCTATACTGAACATGGCGAGCGAGCAGGGTGCACCACCTGAGGGACGGCGCCTGGCTGTTTCGCTTGTTGTCGGTGTGTTGCGCGTCGTCATGATCAGCCTTGTGCTTTTTCCTGCATTTGCTCCAGTTTGGATGGGCTTTGGATGGAGTGGATTCGGGCAGGATAACACCACTTCAGAAAGCATTTCCCACCTTAGCCCCATCACATGCAATGGGGAAGTAGATGCACAGTATTTTCCACATCCAGATTGGGACGCTTGGGGAGACACCTATCACTTCAGAATGCTTGCGAGCACACTCACTTCAATTCTAGTGGCTGTGTGTGCTGCTGTTGGTCTGAAATACGTGCCCACCGCGTCTGCTTTTGTCATCCATGCCCGATGTTGGCTTTTGCTGAATTGGGTATTGGCTGTAATGTGGAACTTTGAGAGGGCTTTCCAGTGGTGTGATTCATTCGCTTACGCCGTACCGCTGACCCCTCGGGGCGACAGCAAGAGTCAAAGACGGAGTTCGCGGAACGCACGCGATCGCTGGGCAATCTTGGGGTTTCGGCCTGTCTTACGTAGCGTGTGGGGTTCAGAAGGGGTGTCTTGTAGGGGATTGTTTTGAAGTGTTTCGTGGTCTTATGCGGGTTTCTTGGGGCCTTCACGGGGCCTGTCCCAGGCTTCCTGTTCCACCCCCTGGATAGGCTCGGGGATCGTTGAGACCCACCTAGGGGTGCGTCCGGCCAGAAGTTCGAGAGTGGACCCAGCTGTGTCGACGAGGAGCTTCCTGAAGGCCCAGAGGGGGCGGAGACCGCGCGAGAACTAGGAGTCTCATGCCTCGAGCCTCGATCCACCCCGTGTTCCTTCCTTTGCGAAGAAGTAGCACCGGCCAGGGAGGTCGATCCTCTCCAGGACCCTCGGCGGTGGCCCCGGGCACCGAACACGGTTCCCGGAGGCTGAATTCGAGCAGATGTCTCGGGTGGTCGAAGGACTACGAAAATCTGCGATACATCGGTAGCGACGACGAAATATTTTTTTTCTTGTTCCCCTCTTCCTCCTCTACCTCCTCCTCGTCCTTCTCCTCTTCTTCACCTCGATCGTGGTAGATGCCCGCGGCAGTTCCCGCCGCCTTTCCAAAAATCTTTGTTTGAACAGCTTCTGTGTTTGATAGGTTTCGGTCTCCGGAGGCCGTTGCTGGGCCCCAGGACTTTCAAAACCGGACGGGCTTGGGGCGAAAAATTGCATCCGCGGACCAGGGGTGAGGTTCGGGGAACGAACTTGTGCGAAGTAACCCGTCGGACTCGGGAGGTTTGCTGTGGTTGGGGGGGGTCTAGGCCCCTCGCTTGTCGCCGCGGCTGGATGCATTCGGGAAAACGATTGCGACTGGATTCCAGGAAGGGTCCGGGGGGCCATGGTGAACGATTTCTGCGTGGGGAAGAGAAGAATTTTGTTGCACAGTCTTAGTCTTTTCACTTTGTTCGTGGTTTTCGTCGTCGAAGGTCGGACTCCGGGCCCCAGGGCCCTTCGGGGGCAATGCGGATCCCTGTCAGGGCCTTTTGGGTGCATTTAGGCGCCCTTTCATGTTTTCTCGGGGCGAAGTGCTCGAATTCTCCATTCGGGTTTCCCTTCTGACCCTCCTCTTGGGGTCGTCCCGGGGCTTTCCCTGGTGGTTTTGGGGGCCCTGTTGGGGCCCGTTTGTGCCGTCTGGGAGCCTTCTTGGGGGCATGCGGGGACTTTTGGGTTGATTTTGGGGGCTTTTGGGGCCGCTGTGGGATTCGTGAAAGCTTTGGGGTGCAGCATATGCATTTCAATGAGCTAGAGGATGTAAGCGCATCTGATGCGCCCACACATCTGTCGTGAGCGCATAAGATGCGGTCGCGACTTCACACGATCGCGCAAGATGCGGTCATGGTTCGATGCGGCATTCTAACATGACTGCGCGTTTCGCGACGGGAGCGTTGGAGAGCGGCTTGGGGCCCGACCAACCAACGGTATGTAATCTGTCTGAACGTGCGACGGGCAACGCGCCAACATCATGCATCCGCGTTGAAAGGGCATACGGGCCACCGTTCCGCTACCAGGCAATTCGAGCCGCAAGCAAACGAGGTGCCCGAACAAAACTGGCAACGGAGTAATTTTGCATCCAACTATGATCGCATCTTGTGCGATCGTGCGAAGTCGCGAGCGCATCTTATGCGCTCACGACAATGTGTAGGCGCATAAGATGCGCTTACATCCTCTAGCTCATCTACCTGCATCTGCTGCACCCCATGGAACTCAAGTAGCGAATGTGTTGAACTTAAACGTTTCCCCTCGGGAAGGGGGCGAGGTTTGGTTTTGCCGGGCCTTTTGGGGCGTCTAGGGGGCCTCAGGGGTGCGCTGGAGGCAACCGCGGACGCCTGGGAGCGATCTCCTCACGAGTCGTAGCTCGTGCTCTGGAGCCGTCGGGGGAGCTTTGTGGGACACATGTTGGGTCTTTTTGGGGATGTCCTGGGGCCGTCCTGGGTCGGTTGGGTTGGGTGGGTTTCTGGGGCCTCTTGGCGTCCATTTGGGCTGTCTTGGAGTCCTTTTGGGAGCCTTTTGGGTCGTATTGGGTCGATCTGGAGTGCTTTTTGGGCTGTTGTGGGCCTCGTGAAAGCCGAAGAGGCGACCGTACTGGAAATGTGTGTTGTCCATAGAAAATGAAGCGAACTTTGCTTTTGGAAAGCCTCTGGGGACGTCTCCGGGCCGTTTATTGGGGCGTTTTGGGGGCCTGTAGGACTGCCGGGAGGCAATCTGGAGCGTCTTGGAGCGATCTCTCGACGATTCGTAGCCGTCGTGGGCCGTCCAGGAGGCCTTTGGGGACCCTCTTGGCCCATTTTGGGGCCCTCTTGAAGCCGTCCTGCGGCTCTCCTGGGCCATTGCGGTTGTTTCTGGGGTCTTCGCGGGGCCCTAGTTGGCCGTCTTGGAGCCTTCTTGGGGGCTTCTTGGGTTATCTGGGGTCGCTCTTGGATGCTTCTTGGGCCGTCGAAGGCCCCGTGGAAACCCAAGAGACGAATGTTTTGAACATGTAAGTTTCCCTAGGGAATTCGACGATTTTTGCTTGTGGAGGCCTTCGTGGAGCGCCTCGTAGCAGCTTTGTCAAACGTCTTGGGGGCCTGTGGGGAATCGTCTGCAGGCAAGCTGGGGCGGTTTGGACCGAAGCGTCCCCCTCGTGGGCCGTCCAGAAGGCCTTCAGGGACCCTCTGGGCCGGTTGTGGGGCTCTCGTGGGACCGTCCTGCGACTGTCTTGGGCCGTTGCTGTGGTTTCTGAGGCCTTCATGGTGCGACCTGAAGCCGTCGTGGAGCCTTTTTGAGAGCCTATTGGGGTGTCGGGGGTCGAACTTGGAGGGTCACTGGGCCGTCGTAGGCCTCGTGGAAGCCCAAGAGGCGATTGTACTGAAAATGCATGTTTTCTTCAGGGAATGGGCCGGTTGTTGCTTCTGGAGGCCATCTTGGAGCGCCTCGTGGACGCGTTTTCAAACGTCTTGGGGGCCTGTGGGGCCGTCTGGAGGCAATCTTGGGCGGTTTGGACCGAAGCGTCCCCCGCGTGGGCCGTCTGGGCAGCCTTTGGGGACCCTGTTGACCCGTTTTGGAGCCTCCTTGGGACCGTCTTGCGGCTCTCCCGGGCCGTTGCTATGGTTTCTGGAGCCTTCGCGGATCGCCTGGAAGCCGTCGTGGAGCCTTTTTTGGAGCCTCTCGGGCTGCGGAGGGTCGATCTTGAAGGCTTTTTGGGCCGTTGTGGGCCGCGTGGAAGCCCAGAAGGCGAATGTGCTGAAAATGTACGTTCTCCCTAGGGATGGGACGATGGGGCGCCTCGTGTGACTTTTTCAAGAGTCTTGGGGACTGATGGGGCCGTCAGAAGGCAATCTTCGGCGTTTTGGAGCGATCTTTCGTCGACTCGTAGCTCTCTTGGACCGTTCCGGGACCCTTTTGAACCTTTTTGGCCCGTTTTGGGGCCTCTTGAGGCTCCAAGTGCGCGGCCGGCACCTTTGCCCCCCCCCGTCCTCGAACCGGCTGGACTGGATCCCAGGGGGAGGGGTTTGGGGAGGGGGAAGCATCTCACACGCTGTGACCCCAAGGGGTCGGCGGATTCGACATATCCGAATCCTGGCACTTGGTTGTGGAACCTTCGGCAGGTTGTTTGGGCGTCTTCTGTGACCTACCTCAGCTTCTTGCTGCGAATGAGGGTTGTGGCTCTGCAGCGTGCACAGGGTGAGAAGGTCCACATGAAACGGATGTCCGTCGTCATTGCACTTCAGTGTGTGGTCCTGCTCGGTGTCAGTGCCTGCGTTGTTGTTCGGCTCACGACGGCTGTGGCGCAGGATTGGTTTGGCACGTTGGCCCAGACCCTTCTGTCGATAATCTTAGCACTCACAGTGGTCGGTCTTGCGATGGCAGCTCATGCTTTTAGGAGTCCGCTCCGTGTTGCCCAACACGTCGCGCAGCAGACTGTTGGACGCCGTGGGGAGGAGGCTCTACGGAGCTATCGCAGTGTGCGGCGGCAGTTGATGGCAACACTGTTCTGCGGAGTCACAACTGTGTTGGCACTGGGTACGGAGTTTGCGTCGCACGTGCTGTTTGTATATCACCGAGACGAGCACGACTACATATATGAGATCTTCAAGACATTCTTCTATGGATTCGACCTGGTCGTTAATGCGGCCGTCATATTGCTGCTGTCGGGGTTGGTACGCGTCCATCAGCCCTCGCGTTTTGCTGGTAAGTGCACTACGAATTCTGCTAAGTCCTTTACCGATACATTAGAACATACACAATGGAACAATAAGGTAAAAGAGCTATCGGAGCGGGGCATTACACTAGGGGCACTCTTAGGCTTCTACGCTGGACTTGGACAGCGCTACATGCCTCACTTCAACCCAGATGTGCATTCCACAGCCGACGTCGTCCGGCAGGCCATCATTCCACTCACGGCCAACAATTCAGAGTTTGGGCCATGCGCATTGTCTACGCAGCTCATGGGTGGGACCTCTATCCCGGCGCAGTGCATGGTTACACATGCGTGGTCAAATAAGTTTGCAGATCTCATTGCTGCCATTGTCGCGGATGCTCTTGGTCTCAGCACATATGAGGCGGTGTTGCCCAGATTGAAGCCGGCCGAATTGCCAGTGTTAATGAAAGAGTTGCACCAGAAGGGTTTTCTGGGGATTTCGTATTGGGTCTGCGCTGCTTGCGTCAATCAGCATGCAGGAATTTGTAGCGTGAACCCAGGGCAGCAACAGGATCCAGTCAGCTGCAGAGTACATCCAGTCTGCAGTTGCGGCCACCAGAAATTCTGGAACATCACACCACCATTGCGCTTCGACGGGGAGGGGATTTTGTGTGAGATGAACAAATGCATCGGCTGACGCCGCACCGCCGACCTCTTGGGGCGGCAGTAAGAGTGAAACACGGAGTTTGCGGAACGATTTCTGGGGAATTTTGGGGTTTCAGCTTCTTGGGATTTCGTCAATGGCGGTTGGCGGATCGCGGCTCTGCTTTTGGGCTTCTCTGGGCTCTCCTGGCAGCACTTTTGAGGCCTCTTGGGGGCCGTTTTGAGGCCTCTAGGCGCTTCTTTTGGGCGTCTCGGTGGCCTCGTGGGAGCCTCTTGGGGGCCTATTGGCGCCACCTCAGGTTTTTTCGGGTCCGAGTGCTCGAAATGTTCATTCGGGTTCCCCTTTGGGCCTCTTGGGGCCGTCCTGGGGCCCTCCTGGTTCGTTTGGAAGCTTCTGGGGCCGTCTTGAGGCCCTCTTGGGCCGTCTTGGAGCCCTCTTGGGGGCCTCTTGGGCTATTTTGGGCCGATCTTAAAGGCTTCTTGGGCCGTTGTGGGCCTCGTGAAAGCCCAAGAGGCGCATGTGCTATTAGGTACGTTTTCCGTCGGGAATGGGACGATTTTTGCATCTGGAAGGCCTCTTAAGACGATTCATGGTGGCTTACTGGGGCGTCTTGGGGGCCTCTGGGACCGCCTGGAGGCAATCTTGGGCGTCTTGGAACGAGCTTCCGGCGACTCGTAGCCCTGTTGGACCGTCTGGGGGGTTTTTGGGGGCCCTCTTGGCCTGTTTTTGGGCCCGCTGAGGCTCCAAGGGTGCGGCCGGCACCTTTGCCCCCCCCCCCCCCCCTCCGAACTTGCCGGACCGGGCTCTTGCAGGGGAGGTTTGGGGAGGGGGAAGCATCTCACACGCCGTGACCCCAAGGGGTCGGCGGATTTGATGACATGATGCTATACCTCAGCGCCAATGACCCGTCCTTCCGGCAGGTCATAGCCGTCGACCGCGAGTTCGAGTTGTTCCAGCGGGCATGGTGCGTAAGCGAGATTCATTTGGCTCACTCCTCATACATAAACGCAGCTGTCAAATGCCATACCCACAAGAGCCTCGAGCTCCACCAAAGCGCGTTGATGAGTCTGTGCGTGCAGGACATGGAGTCGTCCAGGCCGGAGGATAAGGCCATGATCCTCGGAAGGATCGGTAACCTGAATGACTTCAACGAAACCCTGAGGTGGATCGTTCTGGACGAGGACACCGGCATCTTCGCAAATTGCCAGGACAGCGTGCATTCCTCACATACACTCGGCCGGTTCGTGGGGAAAGCAAGCTCTTCGAACAGTTCCTCGTCCTCTACCGTAGCTTCTATCCCGTCCTCATTCTGGTCATACACGGCTCGCACGTCTTCGCTCCGAGGTTGATGCAAATGCGCGATGCAGTTCGCTTGGGTTCTTCTTGGTTGAAACAGGACGTAGATACGTGAAGCCTCGGATTAGTGCTATGCCCAGCGAGGTATGCCATGACTGGGTATCCGCGTGAGCCAGCAGCAACTGTGAGCTGGTCGGCCGCCAACGTGCGGCATAATCATTTTCCAGTTTGAAAATATTCTGGAACATGTTCAGTATTTCCAGTTGTTGATATTTCGGGCCGGACGAAAGGGGGGGATTGGGAAAGGGGGGGTTACGAAATTTGCTGCATGCAGCTGGTTTCGGCCTCACCGAGGGGCCCATTCCTCGATGCATGCCGCCTCTGGCGCTGGGAGGCGCCGGGAAAATCAGCTACGTGAGCTGATTCTCAAACCGCCCCTTTGCTATCCCCCCCTTTCGCCCGACCCGAATATTTTTCTGTCTATTTTTGTATTTGGCTGCGCATGTGTTCGAGGGGGGAGGTATGGACGCTGGGGATTTTGGAGCCAGGAGGCGTGGTTCTGCTGTAGCTTCTGCTGCATCCCCCTCGTCCCTCGACCCCCCACCTCTCTCTCTTCCATGCAGTCCGCCATCCGCGCGCTGCGGGTTCGTGGGGCCTGGGGGCACAGAAGTTGCCGCCGGTTGCCCGGTTTCCCTGGTCCTGCCCCTCGCCGTTCTCCTCCTCCTCCTCCTCCTCCTTTTCCCCTGTCCGTCTCCGCCCGCCGACTTCCCCCCCCCCTCTCCCAGGGAGGTCCGCTCCAATTTTTGATCTTTCTATGTTCGGACGCAAGTTTCAGCCTCTGCTGGCCTCAAGCGCCACCAGAGTGTATGTTGGGGTAGCGTGCCCGTGAAGGTTTCAACAGATCCTTTCGCCTTCCCTTTCGCAAGTTTCAGCCACTGCTGACCTCACGCACCACCAGAGTGTACGTTGGGGTAGCATGCCCGTGGATGTTAAACTAGGTGGTTATACCACGTGTTCGGCTCGCACGCGCGCCTCCAAGGCGGACAAATAGTAATTCATGTGCCGGGGTACCGGGGGCCCAGGCCCCGGGCGGGCACGCCCTCCTGGATTTCCCCCCCCTTTCTTGCACCGGAAACCTGAACTCACTCTGGAGCGTCCTCCTCCTCCTGCTCCTGCTCCTGCTCCTCCTCTTCCTCCTGTTCCTGCTCCTGCTCGTGCTCCTGCTCCTCCTCCTCCTCCTCCTCCTCCTCCTCCTCCTCCTCCTCCTATTCGTCCTCCTCCTCCTCCTTCTCCCCCCTGGACCCCTGCAGGGCCTCCCGGGCTTCCACCTGGCGGCTCCAAACCGCTCAGGAAGGCACGGCAAAGCGACCAGAGCGGCCCCGCAGGGCCGAAGACGCCCCAAGAGCGGTCCAGGACCGCTCACGCGGGCTTCAAGACAGCCCAAGAAGGGGGGCCAGGATTGCCAAAAGAGCCACAGGAGGCGCCTCAAGACGGCCCTAAGGAGGCGCCTCAAGGCGCCCTTCGGACCGAAATCGCCCAAGCGTCCATTTGGCCCTAAGGAGGCGCCTAAAGGCGCCGTTTTGGGCCATCACAGCGCCAACACAGCACAAGAGGCCTCCAAGAGGCCCACAAGAGGGCCCCAGGACGGTCCAAGACAGCCCAAAGACGGGCTCGATGCGGACAAGATGGCCTCCAAGATGGGTAAGACGGCCCCACGACGAACCGATATTGCCTCCAAGACGGCCCAAAAGGGTCCCAGAGGCCTCCATGTTCGTCCACGATGCCTCCAAGACTGCCCAAGATGGCCCCAAGACGGCCCAAGGTGGCCCCGAGACGGCTCGAGAGGCCACCAAGACGGCCCGAAAGGCTTCGATTTTGAAAGATGTTGGTGTTATCATCTTTCTTGGATTCTCACCGCCCACAGCGGCCCAGGAGGCCTCCGAAATCGGCCCAAGACAGCCCAAGAGGCCCCCAAGAAAGTCCCAAACATGCCCAAGAGGATTCCACGGTGGCCCAAGTCGGCCTTACGACGGCTTCCGATCTCCAGAGGCCTCCCGAGGTCCTCGAAGGCCCCCAGAGGTCTTCGCCTGGCACTTGGACCCCAATCAATTCCATGAGGCCCAGACTGCCTGGGAAGGTAATGCCACTTTGTTCGTCGATTTGTTTGTTTAGTCGCCAGAGTTTTTTTTTTTTTTTTTTTTTTGTGTCATTTTATCGTTTTTGGCTTGCGGTGGTCGGTTTCGGGTCCCAGAACCGTCAAAACGGGCCCCAGATGAAAACATACACCCAGACGATTTGCCCCCGAGCCGCGTCAGCCGAGGAGGACGATCGGGGGGAGGAAAACGATGTGGAGGAGGAGGACGAGGAGTAGGAAGAGGAGCATGATGAGGAATAGCATGTGGAGGAGGACAGGGAGGTGTCGTCGTCGTCGTCGTCGTCGTCGTCTTCGTCGTCGATATGTTCATCCACTTACGCTATTGTAGTGGCCTTCGGCCAGTACCGCCGATCCGGGTCGCTCGGTGTTATTCTCCAGACGCAGACATTATGGGCGCACACTCAAACGCACAAACTTCTCGGGTTACCTTCGAAAGGGCGTAGGAATGCAGTTGGGTCAATAGAGCCATCTCGCAACAGTGGTTCTATCAACGGCGGGGTGCTTGCAGTGACCGTGGGGACGGGAAATAATAATGACATGCAAATTCCATACAGGATGCCGATCACTTTGGAAACTCACGATACGTCGTGCACGGAGTCGTGTTACGAAACATGTGGCCTGGACGATGTGGTGCGAGCGGTGGAGGCGAGCATATCGGCGCAAGGACGCCCTCTTGGGGCGTTTTTTGAGCCATCTTAGGAGCCTGTCAGGGCGTCGTGGGGGCTTCTTGGGGGCTTTCGGAGGCCCTCTTGGAGGCTCTTGGGGCCTCCTGGGGGCCTCGTGGGCTGGAAGGCTAGATTTTTTCCGCTTTTCGTCCCTCTTTTGGGTCCTCTTGGGGCCGTCTTGGGGGCCTGTTGGGCCGTCTTGGGCGGCTCTTGGGCCGCCTTGGGGCCCTCTTGGGCCGTCTTGGGACTGTCTGGGGGCCTCCTGGGCCGTCTTCGAGCGGTCTTGGGAGCCTCTTGGGCCGTCTTGGAGCGTCGGAAAGCCGAAAAAAACGACAACCCCAAAAACATTGAAAAAACCAATGGGAATCAACGATTTTTGCCTCTGGGGGCCATCGTGGGAGGCCTCTTGGAGGCCTCTTCAGACGTCGTGGAAGGCTCTTGGGCCGTCTTGGGGCCATCTTGGGCGTGTTCGGGCGATCCTTCGGGGTCTCGGGACTTTCGTAACTTTAAGGGTAGCTCTTTGGGAGATGTTATATAGGATCGGGAGTATAGCTCGCGCGCCGTTGCTTTCGGCTCAAGGCACGCGCGCCCTATTTGCCCGGACACTGCTGGTGTTCGTTACGTGCTGGAAAGATCATTACATCGACCTGATCCTATCTTATCCGTCCACCCTCCATACTGAACTACCCCAGCATGGCATTGGACGCTATCTGCCATCCGCTTCCCATGCAATCGGATGCTATTTGACTTACCATACTCACTTCAGACTTGGTAGCGAAGCTGGCCGCACTCTCGTGTGGTCAGCTCTTGCTCTTCTTATCCTCACGCTATCTGGCACGATCTTCGTGACCAACTACCACCCTGCGCCACCACTCCAACCACATTTACGAGGATCAATTCAAGAGCAAGAAGCAACACGAGAGGTACGACGTCTAGACAACAACATTGGTACCATATACGCTTCATCACTACGCTACTACCAACCGCTCGGCAACGAGCCAAAAGCGCAGTACTTGAAGCAGAGGCGGGGAGACCCGCAAGATATAGCGCCTCGAAGACTTGACAAGGCGCTACCCCAGCGCGGCAACGCGCCTGATGACCACCCATATCTTCACAGCCTTGGGCTGGTTATCGCCATCATATGGTTTGCGCTGGGGGCAACAATTGGACACATGCGCCGAGGAGACAACAGCACCGATGGGCAAACACATGGCCCATACTGGGACCCTCAAGGCAACGTGCCTTTCCGCGAGTACGCTGATGAGGTCAACGCGTGGCTCAACGTCACAAGCGGACGCATGACGCCACAGGCCCAAGCAGCCGCCATACAACGCGGCCTGGGTGGCCTAGCGAGGACACTCGCCATGAGGGTACCACCTGACATTATAAACTATGGTGCGGACATCGATGGTGTCCACACCGACCCAGTAACACACATTATGCTCCTCTTAAGCGTGAAGTTCGAACGCTTGGAAGATGAGCGCCAGCTCACTTCAGGCACACAGCTCACCGACTTTCATGTGCCTCACGGAGAACGAATCGATGTAACCCTCACTCGGTTCGAGATGGCCCGTCTTGGGGCACAGTCGGTGGGGTCTGACCTTCCCAACTTCCAACTGCTTACTACTATCCTATTCCGCGCCCGAGGCGTCGGCAACCAGAGAGCCACGCAGCTCTTGCAGCCACTCAACCACCAAATGCCCCGAACACAACAACAGTATGATGAGTTGTGCGAGAGGATGCGCTCGATAGGCCATTTGTCAGAACGGTCTCCTGGTAACATAGGATCAGCGTTTGGAAAGGGAAGGGGAACTGGTAGTGGAAATTTCTATACTACCTTAACCACCGAAGCTCAGCCTGGCAACGGGCCCTCAAGCATTTGGGCCGACGATCCTGGAGAATCTACTGCCCTACTAACAGGGGATCGATCACAACCAAGCTGGGCAACCAGCCCCCCTCCTAGAGAACCTCAACCACACCGTTCCTTATGGGGCGAAGCGACCCCCCTAAGCGACGGTGTATCCACCTACCTGGGAAATGACGATTTCGACTCCGGCACCGACGCCGACGCCGTATCATCAGATGGAATTGAACCTTTAGACTGGTCAGATATCATGCGCATGGAAGGTGACAATCAGCGTGCCGAACACCTGTTCTGGTTATTATAACAGGCAAAGCGGAGGTGGAGGAGGTTCACACGAAAACCAGTGCGTCGGGTTAGGGGGAGGATGCGGAAGAGCTTCAAAGGACAAGGTAAAGGCAAACGGGGTCGCCGTAGGTTGAATGGACGAGGCATCGCGGCCTTCCTCCAGAGGCTCTCAGATGATCAGTATGATGAGATATTTTTTCGGGGGGAAAGGCCGTGGTAAAGGCCGCAGAGATAC